CACACCCATTAGCATGGCTACTAAGAAGGGAAGCGAAGGGAAGAGAAGGGAGAAGGGGAAAGGGAGAACAAGCATTGGTGAGATGTGAAGCCCCTGGGCCCATCATGCTGACCTAGCTCTGGCGTCAGAGTCTGGCTTGGTCTGGTGGTGGCTTGGGTTTTTTTTTTTTTTTTGCACTTTAAAAATATTTTCATTTATTTTTTAACATTAATGTTTTCTGGAACTATAGTTATTTCAGACTTCCATTATCTACATATTGAGCCTTGTGTCCCTATTTGCCAATTCCTAATTTAAAAAATTTTTTCCATTTCTGTATTTTTACTTAAGGCATTATCTGTAGTCTTTATCTGCATTCTTTCTAGTCATTTCTGAAATGTTTTTATTTCCAATGCTTTCCCGAGTTTATCTTATTTCTGGATTTTCCCAATTCTAAATTTCCTTCATATTTTATGTATTTTACAATCCCACCAACAGTGCAGAAGGGTTTCAGTTTCTTCACATCTCACCACTGGGTCTCAAAGATATTTTCACACCCATGTTGACTGCAGCACTATTTGCAATAGCCAAGAGATAGAAGCAACCCACATGTCCATCAATGGATAAATGTATAAACAAAATGTGGTACAAACATACAGTGAAATATTATTTAACCATAAAAAAGAAGGAAATCATGTCACATGCTACAATATGAGTAAACCTTAAGGACATTAGGCTAAGTGAAATAGGCCAGTCACAAAAAGATATATACTTTATGATTCTACTAATATGAGGTACCTAAAGCAGTTAAATTCATAGAAACAGAAAGCAGAATAGTGGTTCCCCGGGACTAGAAGAAGGGGAGATGGGGAGTTATAGTTCCATGGATATAGAATTTCAGTTTTACAAGATAAAAAAGTCCTGGAGATCTGTTTCACAACAATGTGAGTATACTTAACACTATGGAACAGTACGCTGAAAATAGTTAAGATGGAGTTTTATGTTTTGTGTTTTTTACCACAAAAGAAAGAAGGACAGGAGAGAGAGAGGAAGAAAGAAAGGAAGGGAGGGAGAAAAGGAAAGGGAGAGGGAAGGAAAGGAAAGAAAGAAACTGCCAGGACTCATAAAGCCCAGACTCAAAGGGAAGGGAACGTAGACCCCACCTCCTAGTGGGAGGAAGGTCAGAGAATCTTGGCCATCTTTAATCTGCCACACCCATTGTGGGCACATCACGGGACAGCACCTGAGGAGGTAGATAGTGAGACATTCTTTCTAGGGGACTATATTCCTGCCTCCCAGAGATGAAGGGTGTCAGAAGTCCCTATTAGGGGTGGGTGCATTTTGAAGCAATAGAATGGGAGAAAATGACAAAGCTTGTTCAGCCAATGACAAAAAGTGGCCTGGAATTCCTCCCTTACTTATTTTCACGACAAAGATTCAGCTAGCCCTGCTGCCAAAGCCTGGCTACTCCCATCAAGCATTTTTCTCACTCAAACAGTGCCTGCCCCCTAGCTAGCCTGACTGTGGGGGCTCCAGACCCTGGTTGAATATGTCACATAGGAACAATCAGCAGAAACCCACCACAGGAGACCTTTCAACATCTGTAAACACGTAGAAAATTCAACAAAGTAGCATTCAGATAGTCTGGACAGTGTGGCCATTATAAATGCAGCTCTTATGAGCAGTGATTCAGATGACAGCTTCGAAAAAGAATTTGCAAAGAGCCCCTTGGAAATGGAACATGGGCAACTCAGAGCCCATGACATATTACAAGGACAAACCCGACTGAACAAAGATCCAAAGCAGCATTGAATGACTTTTTTACTCATTCCTGCACTGTACAAACGTGGGAGAATGTGACGTCTTTTAAATCGCCTCCCCTGACAGGCAACATCCATGGTACATGGGAACTGTTAGCAAAAGTTTTAAAGAGAGCAGAATGTTTCACATGGCAGCAATTACAACCACACTGATGCTTCCTCCAAATTCTGCGAATTGTCTGGTGTCTCACAGTCTTAAGACTGAAGGAGTGGTAGCCACATCTGAAAAGGAAAACCTTGTCTTTTTTCCCTTCCACCTACTCTCTCCACTAACCTATTTGAAGCCCTTGCCAAGCCTTCAGGTGGAAAACTCTTCCCTGTGCCTGCCATCTAAGTAATCGTAACAGCATTCTAATTTTACTCCCCCTGCGAAGTGTTTTCCTGATATTCTGCAGGGAGTGTTCGTGTTCTGATCACCACTGGAACAAATATCCCAGTTATTTTCTGCAGAACTCTCGCACGCCCTGGGGTTTCTGTTGCATGATGATGGTGTCATGCAATGGAAGAAAATATATGCACCAGTAGCAGCATCTATGTAACTCAAACTCAAGCAAATATTCCCAGTAGGCTTCACAATGAGCAGCCTGTGTGCACGGGCAAGGCTGGGGCTGGAGTGAGGCAGGTGCCTGGTGTGCAAAATGTAAGGGAGCGCTCACCCTACTCTTGCGTGAGCCTATGAGCCTCCTTTTTTGTTTTTTTTTACTTTAGCGTATTATGGGGTCGAAGTGTTAAGGTTACATATATTGTCCATGCCTCCCTATGAGCCTCCTTAAACTCTGCACCCTGGATACTTGCCTCACTCTAGTCCAGACCTTGCTCACTCGACCTGGCTCCATGCTTTCATTGCCCCATTCATTCCTCAATTCCCTGCCCACCACTGATACTATGGGTGGGAAGCATAGATAGACCCAGTATTGACAATAGTCAACAAAGAAGAGAGCTTTAAGAAGAGCTGACTAATCAATGGTGAGATTACAATGAGGGGTCCAATGAGGGATTTGGCCATACAGAGGCCAGGGGTGACCCAAGACCAGAGCAGATCCAAGAAGCGTTGTTGATGAATGGCCCGTCCTGGTCAGGCCCTGGGCTGCGTACTAGATGCTGGAGTGGAAAGAGGAGCCCTGTGTAATTGGCCTCAGAGATTTCCTTCCTGCAAGAAGGCTTGGAATTCTCCCAGGGAGATGTGTACCCTACAGGAAGCTCCCTTCTCGTCCTCCGGGCTGTGGGTGTCACTGCTCTGGGGTCTGTTCTAAAGCCATTCCAGCACCCATTGCTTCCTGCCTAGCCCACTGGGAACGAGTCTCACACTGCCTGGGATACAACATTAGGCGTGTGGACTTCCTTCTTGGCAATCTCATACTTCTCCTTCATCCTGCGATGTCATAAAGGCAGCTCAGGGCTGAGGAGAGAGAAACCAGGAGTCTCTGGTCCCTAGATGCCGACAACTGATACACACCAAAGCAGGATTTTCTATCATGAGCTTAGGAGTGTATCTACTTGAGAACCTCAAGAATCTGGGGACTACCCCTCCCCACTTCCCCTGTGTCACACACACACAGCCCTGGGGACTTCCATATGCTCCCCTCTCCTCCACGAGCTGTGCCACTCTTCAGCACCCTCTTCTGTGCCCTCTTTCATATGTTCACAACCCCCACCCCCAACTAGCACTTTTCATGATCTTACTGGAAAGCCCATTCAACTTTGTTGATTTTGAATAGAAAGATATTTAGAGAGAAGGAGATCAGGGTGGTGGAATCACGGACCCCCAAAATCAACTTTGGAGGTGAACCAGTAGGAGCACCTCTACAGCAGCAGAGGAAAGACCACTGGTGTCGGTTCAGAACCACCAATATAATATCACTGTGCACAATCCATGGATTGTTTATGGTGCTTTTAATAATAACTGAAGAAAGCATTCCCTTCCGGAGGGCTTCTGCCAGCATGACTCAATCTCGGAGAATCATTATAGACTAATCATCATTATGACATTATCATACTTCAATTATCCCCTGCACAGTCTGGGTGCATTAAAGTAACTGTGAGTTCCCTTGCTGAGAGAAGTTCGTTAAAATCATAATGTGCCTAAGATTTTTTTAAGTGTGTTGGAAAACAAGGGGGAACATACTGAAAACAACAACAGAATCTTTCAGGGGTCTCTCTAGCACACATTCAGAAACCATAATCTTTTCTTGTGTTCTATGCTCTGTAGTGCAAAACCAAACAGGCCGCATTTCCTTTCGGCCCAAATATGCCACACCATGACCATTGAGGTGTGTTTACCCACCCTCACATACATGATACCCTTAAGCCCTGATTAACAGTGCCGAAGTCCACTAAAATCATTTAAAGAGTAGAGTTGATCTTACTATTTGTGGTCTAGTTGTGTTGATACAGGCACAGTCTCTAACCTGTTGGAGAAAAGGAAAAGCTATCATCCCCCGAGAATGTGTCCTAAAGAAAAAATTTAAAGGAACAAATAGATCTTTATATACAAAGATGTTCATTATTTATGATAACAAAGAAATCGGAAACCTACCTATATATTTGACAATAATGAAATAGTTGAGAATGGAGTATTGAGCATGGAGTGGAAAGGAATAAGAATGAAATGGAATATTATGCAGACATTAGAAATTGATGCTGATGATGTAGACAGCGGAAATGCAGAAAATTGTCTTTAATGTTAAAATTTTTTAAATGTCATCTATTCTGCGATTATAATTATTTACACTTAGATGAGAATAGAAGAAAACAGTTGGTGTGTCAAGGTGATTGGATTGCAGGTGATTCATCTTTATAATAATTTCTTGAGTGGCTGTTATAATGTTGAGTGTAAAATAAATAAAACTTGGAACGGAAAGGAAAACACACAATTGGGACATTTTTCCATGCTAAGCAGGAAAGTCGATGTGCTTGGGATCATTCCACGTTCTTCCTATCTGTTTCTAAGCAGCCTGTAATCTTGACCCAGATAGAGGGAATAGACATATTCTCCTTGCTGGGAAGACTGTGCTGTGTGTTTAATGGAATAGAAATCTCATACTTTTCAATCTTCTTTGATAACAAATCCAAAGTGCATTTGAACCATTTATTGGTGTGGCTTTTCTGTGACAAATTTGTGCACAAAATTCTTGCTGACAAAAAATGATGCCTCCTTTTCTCTTTCCCCTACCCTTTCTCTCTCTCTTCCCTCTCCTTCTGCAGTTCTGCTAAGCCAATATTCTCTAGAATGAGCACAAAACAAATCGAATAACAGCTAAACAAATCGAACAACAGCTTTTATACATCAACATCGAGAAGGAAGACGCTTGGGAGAGATCAGAGTACAGAGATGAATATGAACAAGAGTTAAACATTCACTTGTCAAAGCACCTTCTAAATCAAGATCAGCAGAGATGGGAGTGACTTTCTGGAAAGAGATGCAATCATGGATTAAATGCCAGCTCATTGGAAACCATCATTGGATAAGATCATGAAAAAGTCATATTCAGGAAATATTTTAGGGAGGAGGAATATAAATGTGCTGGAATTAACATGTAAAATATATATGTACTGAGGTTTGTAAACTGTCCTTTTTTAATCAAACTGAAAACAAAAAGCTTTAAACTTTCAACAGAATTTTAAGAAAGGCAGTTAGGCTAAACTATTCCTATCTCAATAGCCAAGAGGCTGATTAAACATCATTTATTGAGGAAGCGTCTTAGAAAATGCCTCTGAATGTTTTCACAGAAGCTGCAACCTTTGGTTTTTCATCTCCACCCTTCATTTATTTCACTGTGTAATGAGTTACAACCACTTGGTTATTAAGCAATGTAACACTTCAAACTGTTTACCCAGTCTGTGTTCAGTTTAATCTGTCTGTGCAAGTTATTACGGAGAAAGTGTTTCTGACATATACTATTACTCCATCAAGCTGTATATTACAGGAAGTACATCTTTACATCATAGGTTCCCAAGCAACATAGATTTCCCTATCTTTCAGGAAACAGCATCAAGGAACTCTGAAAAATATAGAAAGCTCATTTTCACCTTGGATGCTCACATGTAATATATAGGCTACTCTCAAACGAATACTTTTTTCTAATTCTCCTTAGTATATGCATAGGAATTTAATATGCGTTATAAATACGTATCTGAAATATCTCTTTTTTTATATTTCTTTGCCATACATGTTATCAGAAATCTATATCTTTTATTTTCCTTACTGACAGGCACTCATTTTTGGTTTTATTTTTTTAAAAAATCATTCCATTAAACATATTTCTAAATGATAGTAAGTGGTACTAACAAAATAAATAATAATTTAATAGCCTTAGAAATAAATGACTATATACTTATATAGGTCAAAGAAACTCAATAGGAATAAGTTACCCTTTTGTTTACTAATGTTGGTTTCAAAAATACTCAGATTCTTTTTAGTTAGCTGACATCTGGAAGTAGGTACAGTTGTCTTCAACTAACCAGTTGTTGACTAACCAGTTGTCTTCAACAATCTTTTGCTCCCAGGCTTCCCCCACCCTCACCCTCACCACATATCCTGCCAATATTCAACAACAGAGAAATATTTAATATTGAAATAGCCAATTGCCTGAGAATGAACACACCCTAAAATATACGTGCCAGGATACTTACTGGAAGCCAAACCATGTTTAATACCTGAGCAGAAAACAAGAACATATAGAATGCTCTCATTCATAGCTTCAAAATTAAGATCAAATTAGCATAGATCACTAGAACATCAGACGGAGGATAACACAAAAATTGATATAAATCAGGGTTGAGTTCACTTATCCTGTCTCTGTTAGGACCACACTCCTATTTTAGCCACATGTATCTGGTACTAGCCATCTTTTCCCAAATGGCTAAAAGGATATTACAGGCATGCTCAAATGAGTAAAACCCAATTCACAGAGATGTGGCTTTCCTAAAGAACAAAATTAAGGGAATATTTAGTGCCCATAACTAAAGTGTTAGCCATTCTGGGGTTTATTTGTGGCTTTCAGTATTAGCTCCCTACTACATTCACAGCACCCTACTTACTAAATTTAATTACACACAACTTTTCAAGAATTCATCTTTTATTTAAAGGGAGGTACCTCTCTACTTTATCTACAGTAAAAACAAAAGGTATTGGCTATCTCTAATCCATGTAAATTACAGATTCCACTGGGAGTCCTACATCACTAACAGTGGTGTTAATAAAAATGAAAAAGTACTTCCTATCCACATGCAAATGTTTTTTAAAAAGTTTTTGCCATAAAACCTAAGTGTAATTTAGCATACCACAGTGCTCTGATGATGGGTCATTGATGATGTACCATTTGTACATAGGTAATACACATGTAAATCACTAAATGTTAACTAAGTATAAGAAGTATGTTTTTATCTTTTTTAAAAAGCAAAAAAATGTGACTCCCTTTCTCATTCTATTCTGTTGTATTGCGTCCAAAAGTTGTGTGTAATTTTTTTAAGGTCCAGGAAATGTAAAGAAATTTGTTGGAATATCTGAATTTCTGTAAAAAATAAAAATAAAAATAAGATTTTATTACTTAAAAGAATGCTTGGTGATGTTGTACATATTTGGTGTATTCAGTTTCTGTCTTTGTCCAGTGATCCAATGATGGCTGATGGTTTGAATGAAGTGACTATCTCAGAAAATCTCTTTGCTGATATTTCCATAATATTTGCCAACAGCAGACATTTGTTAGCTATGCAGGACCCTCATGTAGAAGGCATGATTAAATCCTCTTCTAGCCAAATATAGACATACCTCAAGCTAATTCTTCATGCACTCAGTGGAATGAAATTGACAACTAAATAAATAGTTGGACTGCTCAAGTAAAACTTGACCTGTAGTATCCAATTGCCCAATCTTTACTTTGCAAATTGAAAACAGCCTCCTGTTCCTCAGACATGAGCAACCCTTTTGCAATACTTTATACTGAGAATATGTTGTCTAGGTAGGTTCCAACCCCGATCCTTGGTGTACTATATGACTCTAAATAATTCTAAGCCTCAGTGTCCTCATCTGTAAAATGGATATAAATAATAATACCCAACCCCACAGCATTGTTGTAAGGATATACATTAAATTATAGTATTGTCCGTAACAGGTAGGAGATATTCAATGAATGTTAATTCTTTCCCCTCCGAAAGCTATAGTGGAAACAAATCCATCTTAACCCACATGTGAATTAGCAGCAAGGTTTGACTTTCCTATTCCAACAATATTGGACCATTTGAAACAAATGGGCAAAGTAAAGAAGCTGGATAGATGGGTTCTGCATGAATTAAATGAGTGACAGAAGAGAAATTATCTCAAAGTTTGCCTTTCTTTGTTGTCACAACATAAAGGCAAACAATTTCTATACATTGTTACATGTGATGAAAAATGGATTCTTTTTGACAATCCTAAGCGTTTCCCACAATGGTTGGATAAAGATGAAGTGCCCAAACACAGTCAAAAACTAAATAATTATCAAAAAAACAAATGGTGTCTGTTTGGTGGTCCAGCGCTGGTATTAACCACTATAGCTTCATGAAAACTAGTCTATCGATTACAGCAGATATCTACTGCAAATAACTGCATGAAATGATAGTATGCTTGCAATTAAGCAGCTGAGATTGGTCAATAAGACAGGCCAATCCTCTTAAAAGGCAAGGCTCACCTACGTGTCACACAAACAATGCTGCTCAAACTACAGAGGCTGGACTTGGAAACTCTGTCATCCACCGTATTCACCAGACCTTGCACCAACTGACTACCACTTCTTCCAAGCTTTGGACCACTTCTTGCAAGGAAAAATATTCAATTCTCAACAAGCTTTGGAAATGCCTTTGGTGATTTGATCACCACTCACTCTCCAGGCTTCCTCGCTGCTGGCATGAACAAGCTACCATTAAGATGGCAAAGCTGTGTTGAGGGTTTAGGCACATAACTTTAATTATGCTGCTTCTTGTTTGAGATATAATAAACCACATTTTTTATTTGAAATTGGACATTTCATATTTAATGACCTAATAAAACAGGGTGATGTGGTAGAGAAATGGGGAGGCTAGTCAGGGAAGGCCTCTATGAGAAGGTAGCATTTAAAGTGAGACCTGAATGGTGAGAAGGATCCAGCCATGTGGAAAAGTAGCAGGCATGCCAGACGGAGGAGCCATGGGCAAAGGCTGTAAGGCAGGAATGAGCTCAATGTGCCAGAGGAACACCAAGGTGGCAGAGAAGGGCCATGTGAGCTTAAGCCAGGAGCTAGCTCTGGGCTCTGTAGGCCAGGATAATATGTATATTTCAAATGTGAGAGAAAGCCATTGGAGGGTTTTAAGCAGGAGAGTGATGTAAACTATTTTACATTTTTAGAAGATTACCCTTGGTTTCTACTTTTGGCAGTTTGAACTGGATACTCTGAAAAGCCTTTCTTATGCCATACTATTAAATCTTGGGTAAATTATAATGAGCTTATTTCTAATACACAGTTAGCTTGCAAGAAAGTAAGAGAAATCCCAAAGGCATTTAAAGGAGGAAGAGGAGGAAAGAGGGGAAGGAGAGAGGAAGAAGGATAGTAGTAGTGAGCAGCAAACTGAGTGTGAAGTGTAAGCAATACAAAAACTGGGGTTGCCCAAAAGCAAATCCATATGTCAGAGTAGGGAATGGAAGATTAAGCCTCGGGCCATTGGAAGTGGGTGATCTAGATTTGAGATTCCCACCCTAAGCCAGCACCCTTGAAGATGGCTACAACCTTTGGCAAGGGTGGCCCAGGAAAAATCCTCATGCTAGCACAAGAAGCCTATCAAGAACACTATCTCTACACTGGCTCTAAATGGAAAAAAATAATAATAGTCCCCCCTTGCAATTTATAATCGTAGACCTGCCTTCCTCAAGTATGGAACTCAATCTTAAACTCTCTATGGTCAAAGAAACCCCACACCAAGAAATTAAAGAGCTTTCTAGGGCCCCTGGCAACAGATAGATATGAACACACATCTTGTCTGGAGGAAAGCATCTCTAATATATCTCACCAATTAAACTCAACAAATATGCTTATGTTTAAATTTAAATAGTTTAAAAATTATTAAATATACAAACCACAAGAGAAAATCATCAGAAATAACAACAGATTTATTGCCCCACAGATTTTATTATGGGTAGTAGAAATAGCAGATACAGAATATAAAATAATCATTTTTTATGTTAAAGAAATATAGTATCCAAAAAATGAATATAATAAAGAGTACCTTAGAATAACCAGGTAGATTAGAAGAAAAACAAAAAAAATTTAGAGATGAAAAATGTAATGAAAATTTAAAATACATTGTATAAATTGAAAATAAACTAAGAATAGCTGAAGAGGGAAGTTGTGAACTAGAAGACAGATCTAAAGAAATTACCCAGAATGCAATACAGAAAGCCAAGGGGTTGGAAATTGACAAAAGTTAAACAATAGAGAAGATACATATGTCTAATTAGAGTTCCAGGAGAAATAGAGAAAATAAGGGAAAGGCAATATTTGAATAGAAAATGACTGAAATTTTTTGTAGATGATGAAAGATATGAACCACACATATAGGAAGCATGATAGATACGAAGCAAGATAAACATAAATTCAGACATGATAGTAAAAATATAGACCAAAGACAGAGGAACTATCATTAAAATAACCAAAGAGAAATGGCATACTACCTACAAAGGATTAATTTCTAGATTGACGATAAATACCAGAGACATTAGCATAATATATTTGAAGTGCTGAGGTAAAATAACTATCGAAATAAAATCGTGGTACATTCCTGATGAGAAGGCTGCTGTTAGCCTGATGGGTTTCCTTTGTAGGTTAGTTGTTGCTTTCATCTTGCTGCTTGTAGAATTTTCTCCTTCATTTTGACTTTGGCCAAGTTGATGACTGTGTCTTGGAGATGCCCTGTTTGCTCCAAATCTTCCTGGTGTTCATGGTTCATCAAATCTATTTGTTAAAACCAAGGGAAAATAGTCAGGGTTTTTACCAAAAGTATAGCTAAACAGAAGGAATTTCTGAAAATGAGCCAAGAAGTAATGTTTGAGCCAGACATGGTGGCACGCATCTGTAATCCTAGCTACTTGGGACGCTGAGCCAGGAGGATTGCTTGACCCTAGGAGTTTGAGACTTCAATGAGTTAGGATAGTGCCGCTGCACTCCAGCTTGGGTGATGGAGCGAGAAGGCATTTCAAAAAAAAGAAAAAAAAAATGAAGTTTGAGATGCAAAAAGGCATAGAGAATAAAGAATTTGGTATAAATGTAATAAATCTAAACAAACAACATACAAAATAAAACATCTAATTTGTGGAATTTTGTTTAAAAGATAACTAAAATACTGGATAACAGTAGTATGTAAATTGGGGTGAGATTATCAAAGTTTAAGAAATTAATTGAAGGGAGAGTTAAGATGTAGATTAAATTTAATCATAATAGCTAGTAGGTTGGGCATGGTGGCTCATGCCTCTAATCCTAGTACTTTGGGAGGCCAAGGCAGGAGGATCACTTGAGACCAGGAGTTCAAGACCAGTGTGAGCAAGAGGAAGATCCCATCTCTACAAAAAGTAGAAAAATTAGCCAGACATGGGGTGCACACCTATAATCCCAGCTATTTGGGAAGCTGAGGCAGGAGAATCACTTGAGCCCAGGAGCCTAAGGTTATAGTGAGCCATTATGATGCCACTGCACTCTAGCCTGAGTGACAGAGCAAGACCCTGTCTCAAATAATAATAATAACAGCTAGCAATTGATTGTTTATAATGTGCCAGGTATATGTATTAGTTCACTTAATTTTCATAACAACTGTATGAGTTAGACGCTATTGTTATACCAAGTTTACAGATGAAGAAACTGTGGCGCACAGGGGTTAAATAACTTACCCAAGGTCACACAACTAATAAGCAAAGAGCTAGATTCAAACCCAGTTAATATAACTCTAAAATCCATGCACTTAAATACTGTCTATGCTGCTTTAAAAAGTTTGATATAAATGATAACATTTTAAGGTAAACAATATAATGGAAAATACAGTTTCAAAACAATCATGGGATTGGAATAAGAAAACAAGGGAGGGATAGGGCACAGTGGCTCACGCATGTAATTCTAGCACAGGGAGGCAGAGGTGGGAGGATGACTTGAGCTCAATAGTTTGAGACCAATCTGAGCAAGAGTGAGAGACCCCATCCCTACTAAAAATAGAAAAATTAGCCGGGCACGGTGGCAGGCACCTATAGTCCCAGCTACTTGGGAGGCTAAGGCAGGAGGATCGCTTGAGCCCAAGAATTTGAGGTTGCTGTGAGCTAGGCTGCCACCAGGGCACTCTAGCCTGGGTAACAGAGCGAGACTCTATGTCAAAACAAACAAACAAAAAAACTAAACTAAAAGCCTCAAATTGGGAGAAGATATTTGTTAAACATATAAAGTTTAACTATAAAAGCTAACAATCCAGAGTATATAAAGAACTCTTAAAAATCAATTTTCTAAAAGCAAAAACTGGGGGGCGGAATTGAGCAAAAGATACGTACAAGGAATTTAACAGAAAAGGA